TTGCTGTCACCTTGAACCCTGAAGCCTGAGGCATACATGGGTGGTTGTCAAATGCAACATCGGTCTCAGTACAGAGACTGGTGGCTGCAAGCAGACTACCTCCGAACCGAGGAGGTCTCGCCAGACGACTCTGGCCCGCCGGTCTGTGAACCGCCATTCTCTGAACCGCGGGCGCCGCTGACCCCAGAGGACGAGGAGATTGTCTTACTGATGGAGCTTCAGAAGCGTTTTGAAGCTGAACTGGCCTCGCGGCGGGGACAAGCGACCGGTGGTCTCCCGCTCCCCGACGCCGCAGACGGCTAAGGCTAAGGCACGACCGGTCTTTCCAGATGGTCCCTTTTGGGTCCCTATTGTAATACGGCACCTATTATTTGGGGTACCCAAAAAAGGACCTTAATTTTGACAACTACCCACATCGACACCTCAAGCAAAACCCGAAACCCTGAGCCACACACGAAACCAGAGTCATGCGACCGAAGATGTGCGGGCTCCAGTAGTATCCCTTAACACCATACCTCAAGGGTCCAAAGGACCCAATAGTTAGGTACTTTGATTTGGTTTCGGATAGTAGTTATGCAGGTTAGGATTTTGGGAGAGTATATGATCATGGATCAGTAGGTACTTGGACCCTATTTTTGTTCATATAAAACCGAAGAGAATATTATTCAACATCGTGTTTTTATTATGGTTCTAAGGGAAGGTATAGTAAAATCATCGAACAGAAAAAGAGGACCTGGTTCATCATCGATGTGCTGGTCCTGGGTCCTGATTGGCCGGGGCCTCCCCGTGATTCTTATAGGAACCTCCATAAAGTTGGAAACCAGGTTAAGGCCAAACAGTGCTGGGATTCCCTATACATTACTCACTCTTCAGGATTGAGGCTATGGGGTTTCCAACTCTTGGGCTTTTACTGTACTTCCTTTCAGGGCTCCAGGATTCTGCCCCATCCATCCAAGGAGCACATAGTTAGGGCCCTAGGCCCTAGACCCCCTAAGGACCCCATAATAAGGTCCCTGGAGGCATAGGGTTAGGGTGTAGGCGTTTGTTTTTTAGGGCTTAGGGTGGGCACAGATGGGCGTTCAGGGGAGTTGCCAAGTCGCCTTCATTCAACGGTTGTTGTGGGGCTATGTGTAGAAAGAACGATGAGGCAAAGCTAGACCTATAGCCTCGTTACTTAGAAGCCTAATTACGTACAAAGCCCACGATCCCTGATTAGGGATTTGGGTTGGGATTCTACCAGATGGGCAACTGAGGCTTGTGGTGTAACCTTTGCCTCCATCTTCCACGATTAGTGGTACCCGTGACTAGAGCGTTCATTTGCAGGTCCACGGTTTTGAGCTGTGTGAGGTAGTTCCAATCTCACTGACAAAAGCTATAGCTATAACACCCCAGAGCCAGAGCCGTAAGCCCCTCCCACCAAAACCTGCCACGGGTAGTTGTCAAAATTAGGGTCCCTTTCTGGGTACCTTGAATAATAGCTGCGTATTATAATAGGGGCTCAAAAAGGGACCATAATTTTGTCAACCACCCACCTGAGCAAATCCCACCAGGCCGTTACGAGCCTCTGAGCCCTGGCTTCGCTGCCCAGTGAGTGATTAACATGTTTTTTTAGCACACAGCACCCTAAAACCCGAACCCAGACCCCTAGCCCCAAGTCCAAACATTAGGGTTTAGGGTTTAGGGAATCCTCAACCCCACATCCGAGAATCTATCCCGTTAGGCCCTAAAAAGCGCCCAGGTTCCTCAAGATCTTGGCAGCCACGGCACCAGGCGACGCACCATGTTCGATGTTGTTGAAGGTTACCAAGAGGGTCCACATACACTACTATTATGGAATTAGGCCCCCCAAAACCATAATGGGGATGGTCTTTTGGGACCTAATTCCATAATAGTAGTATATATGGACCCTCTGGGTTAGGGCATTATAACGGTTTAGGGTTGCCTTAAGACTGCGGAGTTTCCCGCAAAGTTTCGGAGAGTGGAACCCGATTTTGAGCTCTGCCTGGAACTGCCCACAGAATTCCAAGAATTCAGGGCTTCGTTCACTGTAGAATTGCAACTGTCTCGTTAGCATAAGTAACTGCCTTGTTAGGATAAGGATAAGTAGTATACCAACCCCCTAACTAGGGTTATAAGTATAGTTACCCTAATTATAACCCTAGTTACTACGTCCCATGGTCCTTTAAGTAGGCATCCGGAGCCTTTTGAAACAGAAGCTCCCTGATCCTCTGGGGTCCTGCGATGATCAGGGCCCCTTATCATGTGGGTGGTTGTCAAAATTATGGTACCTTTTCGGGTACCCTAAATATTAGGTGCCGTATTATCATAAGGACCCAAAGAGAGACCCTGATTTTGACAACTACCCATATGGGGTCCTTCGACAATCAGGATCTGCTCTCTCTTGCTAAGCAACTTTTGGCTCGTACTAGCGTCCAGGGCTCAGGGTCCCCAGCTACATGTACCCGTTTTTTTAAAGACCAAGCTCCCACTAGTAACGACCATAATACGGGGCTTTCTGTTTGCTCTCACAGGAGGAGCCCGCTATGTGGCTTAGAACACGAGCATTGATAGGGTAATTTATGTAGGGTGTCCTTGTTTGCGAGGTTAGCCTTGGGGGATTTTTTGACATTCCAGCTTTCTTGCTTCTGCAGCCATAGAAGGGCCTTAATAGTTACCTGTGCCATTTTGGGGATTCCTCTTCGGGATATCTACGCCCCAATGCAAAGCCACAAGCCCCGGTCCTCCACTCAACAGGGAACCCTCGGATGTCCAACACGATAGAGCCAAAGGCCCGAAACCAGTGGGTTTACGGGTTGAGGGTTTAGGGCTCAGGGTTTAGAGTTGGGGGTTTGTGGGTGGATTCTTGCAAAATGTGCAAACGAATAGGGTTTTGGGGTACATTATACTCTAAGTACAATGGCTCCACGTACCTTTATAGTGCATACTTAAGCCTTAAAGGGGTCCCTATAATAGGTACTTCAAGGCCTAAGTATATACGATCTTAGTATATACTTAGGCCTTAAAGTACCTATGTAAGGACCCTTTAAGGCATAAGTAAAGGTGCATGGAGATTTTGGATCTATTCATGTCGGCCACTCCTAGCCTGCGCAGATACCAGCCAGAGCGAAAGCAACGACGACGGCCTCTTTGTAGCAGTTTCGGCGTAGGGAAGTTGCAGGGCAACCCCGGACCCTTGGGCCCCCCCAAAACCCAAAACCTGTAGGTTTAGGGTTTAGGGAGTTTCCGAAAATAAGGGGTACCTTCTCTTGGGGTCCTTTTAATAAGGATCCTACGATTTAGGGTACTATATTAGGGTCCCATATTTTCGGAAACTCCCGTTTAGGGGCACTGTAGCCTTCAAGCAACCTACAACCTAAACATGCCCTAAACCCTAAACCCTAAACCCCTAAACCCTAAACCCTAAACCCTAAACCCTAAACCCCTAAACCCTGAACCCTGAACCCTCAACCTTGAAGCTAGACAGGAGCCCGAGCCTGCACCCTTAACTCCAGAGCCCCAGACCCTGCAGAGCCGGGAGCCTGGCAGCGTCGATTCGACTAGCTTTTCTTTAGTCCCAAAGATTGGGTTTAGGGTTTAGGGGTTTAGGGTTTAGGGGTTTAGGGTTTAGGGTTTCTAAGGATCCTTGTTCCCATGTATTAGATACTTTGCCCCTAAACTATCTATACAGGGACTTTTTAGGGCCAAAGTATGATATGTGCTAGTCTGATCTGTTTGGGTACATGGACCCTCTACGGAACGCTCGGGTCTGAGGACTAGGTACGGTTTATGCTTCTGGGGTACTTATGGTCCTCCTGCTGCCCCTGTTGCTGCCGCCCCTGCTGCTGCCGCTGCTTGTTCGAGGGTTGTTGTTCTTGATGGCTGTCCATTTTGTAGCTATGAATCTGGGTGCTGCTGTTGGTGGTGGCGGTGGTGGTCGGTTCGGGTCGTATAATTCTCACCCCTCTAAGCTCTCAATGGCTGTGATTTTGTTTGTGTATGTTCCTTCCCGGCTTTCGTTGTTTTCGGCCGTTCCTGCTGCTGTTGTCGACATTTGCGGCGATAGAGGCGTGGTTGCTTTGTTGGTATCATCGCTGTTTGTCCGTCATGGCTGCCATTTTGCTACCGCCACCCTGCTCCCCCAAGCTACCCAGACACTGCATGTTCGAAACCTGAAGTTCACCACCGGAGTTATTTGTAACCCCTAAAGCCTCAAGCCCAAAACCTCTGAACCCGATACACACCTTAAAGCCCCTAAACCCAACAGACACCCCCCTCCCCTACCCTACCCTCCCTACCCTACCCTGCCCTACCCTGCCCTACCCTACCCTACCCCCCCCAGACCTCTGTGCTTTAAAGCAAAGGAAACTTGGATCAAGTCGCCAACGCCCTACGGAGCCTGAGGGTGCTCAGAGTGTCAGTGCCCAAGATTCTGCCCAGCTGGGCCTGATATTGTTGATGGACAAAATCCTGCATTACCCAGAGGGTCCATATATACTACTATTATGGAATTAGGTCCCAAAAGACCATCCCCATTATGGTTTTGGGGGGCCTAATTCCAGGTCCATAATAGTAGTGTATGTGGACCCTCTTGGTTACCTATTATAAGGACTATACCCTAGTTCCCATAGTTTAGGGTCTTGAGGGTCATGCAGGATTTCGTCCATCAGCAGTATGTCTTGCAAACTGAGTTTAGGATTTAGGGTGGGTTTAGGGTATGAACGCGAAGCTTAGGGTTCGGGAGTTTGGGGGTTTCAGGAATTTGTGGGTTATCTCTGATAGTTCGTGGAGTGCCCTGCTCTTGCTGTGGTCAGGCCCCTTGCATGGCACCTATAATGTAGAAGAGCCGACAACATGCCAGCCGTTGTCCAAAGTAAATTGCTGCTCCAGGGTAGCAGGGGTCAGACACAGACAGGAATTGAAGATGTTGTATCAGGGCACGTAGCATTGCACGATCACTGTACACCGGCTTGAATCGCCCTGCAGAGAAAGCCAGTCGAGTCATGGGTTTCGGCGCACACTCCCACGACGCCGAGTTTCCAGACGACGACTGGAACCTCTATCAGCACGTAGACTTGGAGACTTCGGTTGCGCTGAACGCCGTCCTCGGTGGCCACATCTCCTCGAGATCACAAGTTGCTGCTGTGCTGCGGCCGCATGAGCATCGCCTTGCGCGGCAGCCGTGGCTAACCAGCGATGCCGACGAGGAGTTGCTGCTGGTGCTCAGGTTCACTTCACCAGTGCACATCCGTAAGATCCTCGTTATTGGGGGAGGGGGTGAGGAGGAATGTATTAATGAAGATGAGCTCGGCGCACACCCAAACCGCCTGCGCTGCTTCGTGAACCGGGAGGAATTTGACTTCGGCAGCCTCAACGACGTGGCGGCCATACAGGAGTTCCTAGGTGTTTGTGCTGGCAATTTTTTCGTAGTCGTCGTGTAGTAGATTTTCGCAGTTAAGAAGGAACACGTCGTATAGTAGTTTTTGGGGCAGTTAAGCAGGAACAAAGACTGAGTGCTCCGGAGCCTTAGAAGAAGCTCAAAGCTCAAAGGTTCAGCTTTTCAGCTCCACGGAACAAGCAAGGTTCGATCTGGCCCTGAATTCTGAGGGCACTGCAGAGCTGTTTACGAAAGTCTCTGCATTTACCAACGTCACCTCTCTCGCAATGCACTTCCCCAGTAGCCTGGCCGGATGGATGTATGTTTTTTTATTTTGATGTTTCCGGATTCTAGTTATAGCTTAGTGAACCCCGAAACCCCATGCTCATTAAGGCCGGATTGATAGAGGAACATAGGGTTTTGGGCTAGCCTTTTTGTCAGGATTGAAGTACCCTAAAACCCGAAAACGAAAGTCTAAGACCCTAAACTCCTAAAGCAAACCTCCTATGAAGATGCCTCCCTTCCCAGGCAACCACGGAGGCTTACCCAACACGCTGCTCCGCTACGTAGGTCTCCAAGGCGAACACACCCACTACAAGGTCGGGCCTTGCTTCGAACGGTGTAGAGACTCAGGGTTTAGGGCTTAAAGGGAACTCCAGAAAGTTGGAATATGGATTGGTGGTAGGATCCCCTATAATTTACTTTAAAGGGTTACGATAATGATATTCCAACTTTCTGGCTTCTACTGTAGGGTGTAGAGGCTCAGAGTTTTGGGTCAAAAGGTTGAAGGTTTACAGCTTTGTGTTTAGGGTGGAGGCTCCAGGCTTGTGGTTTAGGGCTTACAGGACTTTCGGATTTGGGGTTTGAGGTTCAGGTTTCAGGTGCAGGGTTTTGTGGGGTTTAATGTTTGATAACTTGAAATGGGCTTCAGAAGGGGGGCCGCTTATTTCATATGGAGGTGTCTCCAATTTTTGTGCACGATCGCCAGACATCTAGGAGCTCAGAGATTTGAGGGTTTCTTGTTCGGGTGAGGCCCCCCCCCACGGTGACAGTGGATGAATGGGAATAAAGATCCAAACAATCCCTCTTGGTCACTATGCTGTCAATAGGCGGGGCCTCACCTACCCTAAGGGTCCAAGTACCTGATTATCATATACTCTTCCAAATAGTAAACTACATAACTACTATCCTAAAGCCAAGTATCTAACTATTGGGTCCTTTGGACACTTGGGGCTACGGGTTTGGATTGAGGGACCCAGGTCGAGGCAGTGCATGCGGAGTACGAGTTGCTCTGCCAGCCCGGAGAACACGGCCATATGCATGGCCACGTGGCAGACCACGGCCACCCAGAAGTCCAGCAAAGTGTTGTTCTTCTGTTATTAAGAAGGGTTCTTGGGTGCATGTTGTGTATACTGAAGTTCAATAAAGCTACTATTCGGGAAGTCTCTATACCTGTAGATCCTTGGGCTTTGGTTTTCAGAACTAGGGACCACAGCCTTGCAAGTTGAACCCTCCCTCGCCGCTGAAGCTGATCAACTGAGGCCATTCACATTCACATGGACACTGAGGGCGAGTCGGAAGAATGACCCGATCTTGAGCCGAGTTGTTGACCTGGCAGAGACTTTGTTCAGCCCGGGAAGCCCCATGACGGGGCTTTTGTACCTATCCCTCTATCTATCCAGCGAGGTAGATAACCAAAATGGCTAGCTAGCATCTGTTTACTCATAACTATCTGTGCAAATGTTGTATATAGCAATAATCTCAAGATTAATAACGGAATGTGGACACACATGTGTATACATATATATATATATATATATACTCACACATAGGTACGTGTGTGTCTGTGTGATTGTGTGAATCTGTCTATGCATGCATGCATGCTTGCATGATATGCAGGTGTGTATGTAAGTAAGTAAGTAAGTACGTATGTATGTACGCATGTCGTACATGTAGGTATTCTGTTTAGGTCCGTCCGTCTGTCTGTAGGTAGGTAGGTAGATATGTACGTATGCATTCACAATTATGTACACAACACAGATACATCATGTATATATTCTGTATACCTTTACCCTATCCCTCCAAGGACATCATAGTTAGGGCCCTAGACCCCTTAAGGACCCGAGGTCCCTGTAGGCATAGGGTTTAGAGCATGGGAGCACTCGGAGAGCTGAATGCCTAATTCGATGGGGACCTGGTGCCAGGCATCAGGGACCCAGTCCCATTTGAGGGCCCCACTACCTGTCGAATTTTGTGCCTTTAGTGTAATTAAGGATACGAGGAGGGTTTAGGCTAGGGTTGAGGCCATTATGAGCCGTTGCTTACTCTTTAGTAGGTTTGCGTGTCGGTATGGGTTCCTGGACGGGCTTATACGGGTGTGGGGAGACATTGAGGTTCAGTGCTTGTCTATACGGACCTATAGGGCTGACGATAGGTGCCTTGAATCAGAGTAGGGCTACGGCATAATTTACTTCTTTTATCGGTATATATTGATTGGGACTATCAGCGGACACAATTACTGGTTTTTCAGTACCTGTCTATCGTACCTGCCCCTGCCTTTTGGACGTCTTACGGGTTGTGTTTCGCGGACCTATCTATCTAGCCGTCCATTTATATATCCATCTCTCCATCCGTCTATACACTGATCATCTGTTTGAACTAAATTTATCTATGTGCGGATTGATCTATCGATCTATTTGGCTCTTCATCTCTCTATCTGTGTATCTATCTGTCCATCCATGCGTCCATCCGTCCATCCGTCCGTTCCATGAATCCCTCCCTCCCTCCATCGCTCCGTCCATTCGTCCATCCGACCATCCATCCATGCATCTATTCATCTACTTGTCTTTTGAATCAGTTGACTACCGAAATATCGATGTGTCCATCTGTCTATCGATCTATCTATCGATCTATCTACCTGAAGCTGCTACTTGTCAAGGTCTCTCTAACCGTTGATATTGGGGGAGCTAAGGAGCCAGTGATGATGATTATCCCTTTTAAATAATGAGCTAAAAAAGAGCCAAGGGAGCTCCAAAACCACTGGTTAGTTCTGAGGCAAGAGACAGGTACGCGAACCCTCGGGGTACAGGGGTGTTGTTTCCATTTGCGAGTTGAAGCGTATCTGCTTCCTGAAGCTGCATGACCGAACCTTTGCACACGCAAGAGCGACGAAGATACTGGCTTGAGCTACTCCCTTACATTGTTGCTTCTAGTTTGGCGAGAAGGTTCAGGGTCTAGGATTTAGGGGTTGGGGTTTAAGGAGTCGGGATAAAGCTTTCGAGGAGTAGTGATTTACGTTACTTTCATAATATTTAGTACACCTCAACCTGTTATTCTGGTCGTTGAGGTGCCGAGTAAGCTTGTTCTAGATGTCAAGTGATTCGAGCTAACTTTTCAATGTGTTCCATGATGCTACGGTTCCTGCGGAGTCACGGATTTATTGTGGCCGTTGGGTAACTGCAAATTTCCCTCGTACCAAGCTGAATGCCCACAGCCCCAGTACTGTTGAAGCGCAATGCTCCCTCCAACGGAGCAAGCCTAGGTTCTTCTTACGGGGTTCAGTCAAGTTGGCATGGTATGGACAGCCTTTGATGTCATGTCTATCCCTTTACGCTCTGTAACAAGAGCCTCAAACCATAACAACCAAACTCTAAACCTTAAATCATCAACCCTAAGTACTAAACCCGAAACCCCACACCCTAAACCCGAATTCTAGTCCCCGAACCCTAAACCCCAAACCCTAAAGCATCAATTACCCAGCCCCAGCCAACCCCGAGCAGCCCCGCCGCCCCGCCCACCCCAGCCCCCAAGCCCAAGTAAACGTTTCGGTCAAAACGTTTCGCCCAGAACGGTTTAGGGTTTAGGGTTTCAAAACTTTGGCACCCAAACGCTTAACAACTTCTATGAGCCCCAACATTCCGACCCTTTCAGCGGTATATCTGTCGGTGACGACCCTAACAGATCCCAGAGGGTCCAAGTACTGGTCTGGTGTAGTATTTCATTCTGGAGCCCAAATACCTACCATACTGGTCTGGTACTTGGAACCGTTGGGTAGCAAGATCCCAGGCGCAGGTTGCGGCCCCTGCCCTAAACCTTTAACCCTAACCCTAAGGCTCAAAATAGCCCGAAAGCCTTATACAATATTGTCTTTAGGCCCAAAAGCCTCAACAAATGAGTCCTTAGAGCCTTAGGGTAGAAAGATCCCAGACTCAGGGTGCGGTCCCTGCCCTAAACCCTAAACCCTAACCCTATGCCTCCAGCGACCTTATTATGGTCCTTAAGGGGTCTAGGGCCCTAACTATGAGGTCCTTGGAGTGATAGGGTAAAGCCCAAGAGGATCCCAGACTCAGGGCCCTAAATCCTAAACCCTTAAGAAGATCCCAGACTCAGGGTGCGGCTCCTGCGCCTCCTGAAGCTCCAACGAGCCATGAACCTCGCCAGGGGCCGAGACGGAGGGGCGAAGCTTCAGCGTTGAAGGTTGTGGGTTTATGGTTTATGGGTCACTTAGGGTTTAGGGTTTCCTTTAATTTAAATGGGACTATAGTAAGAGGCCCTCTAAAGGAATCTGTAAGGGGTTTGGGGTTTGGGGCCTTAGGGTTCAGGGCTTTGGGTTTTGGTTCTTGGTTTTCGAGTGTTCGGGCGTGCGTTCAGGGTTTCAGGTTTAGGGATTTCGGGAGCTTTGCAACCCCAGGAACCACAAACTCCAAAGCCTTTAACCCTAACCGCGGATGGAAGCGCTCTAACCGAATAGATAGGTCTGTAGATAGATAGACGGATAGATACCCTATCGGTATCTATATATACAGACAGTACAGTCTTTGTTGCATGTGAGTATGTGTTTATATGTATATACACATGAACAATGACATATGGGTGGTTGTCAAAATTAGTGTCCCTTTTTGAATCCTTGGTCTAATACGGCACCCAATATTCAAGCTACCCAAAAAGGGGACCCTACATATATATATATATAGAGAGATATAGATAGATAGACACAGAGAGAGAGAGAGAGAGAGAGAGAGAGAGAGAAAGAGCATCTGAAGCCCGACAACCTGGAATGCTAAGCCGTAATTTTTGATTGTTGATTTCAGGATGTAGGGGCTTTGGGCTTTGCGTGTCAAGTTCAGAGTCCAGATAGAGTGCCCTTATTCCGAAGGGTTAACGACCTACACCGAGCTATTGCTGGGCTCTGAGCACGGACGGACGCCACCAAAGGGGATTTAGGGCACAGACGGTTAAATGTCAACACGACCCTGACTGAATGATAGAAAACTGAATCCCGGCAGTGCAGAAGAGTAGCAATGGGGCCTTAATAATTCCCTATACTATTGCAGGGGTTGCATATTAATAGTATAGGGAATCCGAAAACCCGATTCTCATTATTAAGGCCTCTATATCAATCTGACTCCCTAAAACTCTAAACCGCTGAGGACGACGGAAAGTTTAGTCTCCATACCTCTTTGATCCCTAGGGAGTGCACGCCAAACAAGTTTAGGATCCAAACCGTAAAGTTGGTGTTTCAATGAAGGAACCAAATTTATTGGGCAACTTGTTTTCGGTACTATGCTCTTGAAGGTGTGATGTGCGTTCTTGTGGTTTCTTCATGCGGGGGCGGGGGGGTATGTGTGGACTTCTGTTCTGCAGTCTG